TTTGCATCTTTCTTCCTGTATTTGAAATTTTCAACTCTTTCTTCTTTTCCCCTTCTTTTCCTTCTGGCAACCATCATCTGAGGTTGTTAATGGTAGGGACCTGTATTTCAACAGGATAAGAAAAGAGTTGATGTAAAAATTAGTTTATTTGTGTTTGGTTAATAAATGTTTGAAATGGGCTGATTTCATTGGAAATGTGCTTATTAATTTCTATTTTCATGTTTAATACTATCACTTTTTTTTTATCCCATTTCAGAAACTTATGCAAAAATAGTTGGTTTTCTTATTGTATTGTAAAATTTTCAAGTGAAAACAGAGTATGTTAACTAGCAAAAACTGTAACAGAATTTTTGTTATTACCTTCTGCTTCCCTTCAGTTTGATCATTACTTTGTAATACTTTTTACTGGGAAAATTAATGTTATGAATGTTTTTAAGCACTTATGATACTTCAGTAATTATGTATCATTACAAATGATACTTCATAGATTTTTTTTTTTTTTTAAGCATAGTTTTTTCAGTTGCTTTTGGCAGGAGTGAAATTCAGCAGTACTGTACGTAAACCTGTGGAACAGATCTGTATCTTCAAGTGTTGGAGGAACCTGTTTTACAATAAGTAATTGGAAAAAAAAACCAAAATAAAAAGCTTGGGATTATGATGAAAAGAATGTAGTTTGCCTGTATACTTTTGTTAGTACAGGTTCTGAATGGTTTTGGTTTTTGTTTGTTTGTTTGTTTTTGACTAGGTAAAGCGGAATGTGTATGACCTAACTAGTATCCCTGTCCGTCACCAGTTATGGGAAGGCTGGCCTCCTTCTGCCACAGACGACTCGGTAAGTAGCTTTGGTCCTCCTTTCATTTCTTCCTACGCATTGGTGATTTTACTTGGATTTTTGATCAGAATCACCCAATAGGTTTTAGTGTCCCATATGCAATAACCTATCATTCCACGTCACAGCTTTATCTTGAAAGATACAAATACTAAATTGTTGGCTTACTAAAGCACATTTCCATGGAAATTACTCATGTCTATCAAATTCAGTGCATGTTCTAGACTAGGAGTACATGTGTTCCTAGATTGTAGTAAAGTTGCACAACATTGTCGAAGTCGAGGAGGTCTATTGCAGTGATGGAACTTCAGGGAAAAAATCCTGGTTTTCACATGTATTCTGAGTGCATATCCAGATACTTTACTCAGCTGAGTCCGTCAGATCACTGGTATTCTTAAGCCTGTGTCTGGCTTTAATCAGGCGGTGTTCCTGTTGAAATTGTTGGAGGGCTTCACTTGCTTTTAAAATATCAACTTTGGTTCTTGCTGGACCAGTAAGAATTTATGGACATTTGCAAGATTACATTTTGAAATGGTAAATAATATGTATACAATACAATATGTATTGAATTTTCAAACTTGTTTTGGAGGTTTTAGAGTTACCATTATTTAGAAATGGAAGGAAATCTTAGTTGAGATCAGTGACGGAATCAGCTAACTCTGAATTCCCTACATATTCATGAAACTGTGGGACTTAACTGTAGAATTCCATTAAATATTAGACTTGCTTCCTTGCATGGTTGTCCCTACAGTGTGTTTTACAGCATGTCTTTCAATTTTGCTCAGATGATTTTCTTCTGGTAGTATGTTCCCAATGCCAGCTAGTGAGATCTGCATTTATTTTAAAAAAAAAAAAAAAAAAAAGCCTAAAAGGCTGAAGTAATGATGTAGTTATATATCTATGTTGTCTATAGGTTTTGTGCCCTGAGAAAAATGTAGAAAAAAATAATCTCTATTTTTATAAAATCATTTGTTTTAACTAGAGGTTGATCCTGAGTATTCTACAAAGTGAAAATGGAATTGGGATTTGCTTTCTCTATGTATTATCATTACCTTCAATGCATTACTTTCCTGTCCATTTCTACCCTCTTCTTGTAAAGAGAGAATTGCTGTTTGTATGATAAGACTGCTGCTTTTTTGCTCTGGGTAAAGGATTTATGCCAATCAAAAAAAAAACCCAAACCTGTCTGAATTTCTAATATTTCTAATATACTTGTAAAATACATCTGTGGTAGTGTTTGCAGAAACAGTAGTTAAATTTGAGAGAGGTGGGTAAATCTATGTCCATGTATTCAAGAGCATATCTGAGACGATAGATGTGAGATCTGAAATAACAGCATGGTGTCATGTGGTAATTACAGTCTTTGAAATGTGGATCCATTTTAACATTTTATTAGTTTACATTAGCCAAAAAAAGAATTGGAAACTCAACACTTCTAATCCGTTTTCCCACAGCTGTTAGGTTTTCCTGTATTTTTTTCCCTCCCTTTCTTTTGAATAGGATACCTCACATATGTAAAACTCATAAATCTGTTTTAAGTCTGTTTTTACAAGTGACATTGTTGCAGGTGAATTTTTCCCCTTTTCATCTTTAATGAAATTGGTGAATGTTGAGTCATCTGCTCCAAAGCAGGAGAGTCCTCAAAGCTCACTACTCGAGTCTGGTGCAGCTGAGACTTGTCAGCTGTGTAAACAGATTTGAATGTGTTACCAACAAAAATATAATTAATTTCTGTCTAAAATTAGAGGCCATAGCTTACTATTTATAAAGATTTAATGTTAGCAATGACTATTTATGGTTCTGTGAACTTAACGTTTTTTCCTTTGTAAATTAGAAATATTCAGTAATAATTACCTTAGTAATTAGTCATGATGTCTTTAGTTCAGAGGCAAATTTTTAAAATCACTTTTTCCGTTGTGAGTTTTTCACTCGCTGTATTGTATAGTATTCCGTTGCAATTAAAGAGTTAAAGAAAGGCTTGATTAAAATACTTTTTCATTTACATGTTATGCAGCATAAGAAATACTTTGTAATACCACAGGAGGTTTTTCAGTGCAGTTCTCGTTAACCTTTGGCTTAGCAAACAGGACAACTAAATAGACTTCGCATAATTGGATTCCTGTATCATCTTGAGTCTCTTATGAACCTGACAGACTACAGTCTTCTGACATTATCAGGAAATTTAGTGGAGTCAATAGTCATTTAAAACATTGTTGCTTCATCTCCCTTCAGAGTTAAGATATGTTCTCTGCTTGTACTATCTAATGAAATATGGGATACTGTATGAATTGTCAATAACTCTTTCAGATCCTTTTGCACGCTTTCACCGGGGAAATGGGTATCAAAACCTCTACAGGCAGGAGAATGTTTTCATGCTGTGACAGTTTGATTGGGAAACAAGGCATACGTAGTCTGTGGAAAGCGCATGTTCACCATTTGGCAAGGACATATCTTTAGCTTCTATTGTGCCTGAATAATTTTAACACCACGAATTATATCTGTTTTGCTCATAAAAGTTCAAACAAAGTAAATGTATGATTTTTAAATAATTCTTTTTTTTAACAAATTTATTTAAGTAAAACTTTAATTATACTAAAGACCTCATTTATCTGGTTTGGGGTATATATCATCAACTGATATAATGAAGTCTTGAAAATTATCCTAGAAAATTGAAAAATAAGTATAGTTTGATTTAAATAGATTTACAGCTTGTTCTTAAGATATCATAACAACCTTAACATTACTGAGCCTGTAAAATGAAAATGAAGCCAGAATAATTTACTAAAATTTCTGAAATGTATTCCATTTCTCTTTGCTGTATTGACTGAACTTCTAAACTTCCACTGGTAATTACCGCTGTTGCCAAGTGGAATGAGAAACCTTCAAATATGTATGTGTAGGAAGGAAAAAAAACCTCATACCCCAAAAAACCCGACCCAAAACCCCCCTGAGATCAGTCATAGCTGGCATTTTAGTTACAGTTTTTACATGGAAACATTGTGATTTTAATTATATGAGAACAGATGACTTCTTGGATATTAGCTTTACATATGTATATTTGAGGTAAAACTTTTTTCCCCCTTGAGGTCACTGGTGTTTGCTTTATTTCATCAGGATGAGTTTTTGTCCCTGATGTTTCTGTTCATTTTGGTAGCATAGAACAGCAACAGCCAATACGGGAAGGAGGAGAGAGGTTGCTTTTGTGCTGCTTTTGTTCTCAGTATTTAAGCTAAAACTTTTTTCTTCATTAGTTCATTGTTTTAAGTCATTTCAGTGTAGCAATGAGAAATGCCTGCTTCTTCATAAGTAATGACAGTGAGCTTGTCAAAATGGAATATATTTCTGTGTGAAAAAGATGTAAACCATTTAGAATGAGGTTTGGAGGGCTAAAGGGGAGAGAGACAAAGACAGAGGATGAAGCGCCCAGTGTTGTAACTGTGCCCTCGCATGCAGTTCCCATACAGAGGCACTCGGCATCTGTCCTTCTACCTACTGCCGGTAACACTTTGTTCCCCTAAACAGCATGGTTGGTCAAGACCTCGTATCCTCCTTTCAAGACGAGTAACTGTACTACTTTGCTGTATAGATAAGCCAGTGGATATTAGTTTAGGCAGAAGTAGATCTACAACTGCAAGTTATTTGGCTGCGCTACTGAAGAGTCACATTTCAGATGTGGCACGTGTGTAGCCACTAACGTATTGAGGCTCTGCATCATTCCCTGTGAACAAGACCACCTTCAGTTCTGTGACAGCTGTAGCAGATGTGGTTGACGTTCCTTAGCTGAATTAATAAAAACTTCTAGGTTATAATCAGAATTCTCAAACACTTATATATGATCTAATTAGCACTGCCGTTACATTTAGCTATTATATTGCTAAGTACTAAGCACAGTCTGCACAGATAGAAATTAAGAATGCCAATAAATAGTGTTCTGGTACAACGTCAAACCATTTATGACACTTTTCGGCTGATCTCCAGATTTTTGAAGAGGTTTGAGTATTAAGCATCTGAGTAATTAATCTTTGGGAGTATATATTTCTTTCCCTTTCCGGATCTTACAAAGGCTTTCTGAACAGAAAGTTCATTACCACATGCTGTCATTGTGATATGAAAACAAGTTGTGAGGATTATGTACACTGGCTGTTTGATTGTAATGGATGCCATGTCTGCATTTATTGGATTGTTTAGAATTTTTGCCCTGGAATTGAAATGACTAAAGAATGAATAGTCCTGACAGAGAAAGTGTCTATTAATCGGAAGCGTAAAATTGACTATATTTAAATTGAAATACATACATCATTAGGAAATACTCAACTATTTTTTTTCTGCGTAAGAGTAATGTAATTATGATTTGGATTGTCTGTAATGTTAATTACTTTGTATGTTACTTTCCTTCTATGGTTCTCATCAGTTGCTTGCAGGAGAGTAGTAGAGTGGATCTGGCAGGATCCTTTTAATTTAGATGCTTAGAAGAATGCTTGCGGTCTGTTTTGTTGTGTGGGTTCAGGAATATGGTAAAGTTTCAATTTAGCATTTATACTATAATCCCAATTTAGTAGCGAAAATCGTTAGACAGTACCCAGTCGTGGAAGTTCATGGTAATCTATGAAGCAGCACATTCATAATCATTAAGAAACAGAAAAATAACTAATTTAATAAACAGTTCCTATATGTCTTTATTTTAGATAACCTTCTGACTTTGGCTTATGGCTTGCTTGGATGGTTTTATGTGGATGAATCATGATGTTCTTTCCCCAGAATAAACAAGGAGGTTACAGTTGTTCCTTCACATTTTTTTTTTTACCCCACTCTTATTTTCCATTTATAAAAATTAAGATAAAGTGATTGGAATTAATTTTGTTTATGTAAAAATTACCATGGCAGAGATAATCACTTTTGTGTTATGTTTGTACTTTTTCATCACAAGAGAATTTATTTAGGATTGTCCCATTTTAAAACATAAAATAACTCCATTCAAGTGATCTCACCTATTGTGTTGCTTTTGGGAAGGGTTTCTTTCCTCACTGCATGGTAATAAGTCTGACAGAAGTGCAAGAAGTGC